TCGAGGCCTGCAAACATATGATACCATCAGGTATTATCTCTGTTACCATTATTATTTATTTTTTAATCTATTAATTAATTAATTTCTTTATATCAGTAAAGATATTTTATCTCGATGGACATATCCTATTGTACCAGATAGTAACCTTCAAGAAGGTGATAGTTATGAATATTTACGTGGTCAAATCTACAAGGAGAAGGATGTGTCATTGTCAAGATCATGTTTCCTTGGTGAAAAAGTATTAATAGGTGCAGGAACTAAAATTGCTGAAAATACAGAAATAACTAATTCTGTTATTGGTAGAAGGGTTAGCATTGGTATTTATTATAAAAAAATAATTTGGTTTTTTGTTTGGAAATTAATAAATATACATAAAAGGAAAATACATACTCAAAATAATTTATTATTGAATCATGTAGGCCCCAATGTTAATATTGATGGAGCTTATATATGGGATGATGTGATCATCAAGTCTAATTGTTCAATCACTTGTTCTATTTTGACAAATAATGTTATTCTACAAGAAAATGTAACGGTGAATAAAGGATGTGTACTTTCTCATGGTGTAAGGTTTACATTTCTCTATATCATAAATAAATATATGTGTTATTTTATTTATTCATATTTTGTTATTAATATTGATATTTGAAATTAGGTTGTGATCGGACCTAATATTACTTTACCAGCTTACACAAAAATATCAAGACATAGTAAGAAAGCTGTGGAAGATTTTGATGATGACAATGATGACAATGATAATTGTGAAAAAAATATAAATAAACATGTTGATATTGGTAATTATCCATCAACATATATATTTCATATGCAGTATATATTACATAGCGTATCTATATATTAGAGTTTGCCTAAAAATATTTCATTTAATAGATTATGATTATTCTGTTATTGGCGAAAATGGGAAAGGATATGTTTGGATTGAAAAATTTTATGGTGAAGAAGATGACGAAGATTCTTTAAATACTTTTAGAAATGCTCAAGTTTCATCTTTGGGTATATGTATTTCTTTTTTATATTAAATAAAAATTTATTAAATTGTTATTTATATAAATTTATCATAATTAATATACATTCTTTCCAAAAAATATAAGCATACGATATATCTAATATATATCATATAGATAGTGAATCATCAATATCTGTTATTAGTGATGGATCATCAGATGAAGAAAGTGATGTGGATGACCACCAACAATCCAACAAAGAAAATTTTTCAAATGAAGCATTGCAAACTCTAGAGCGTGCTTTCTCTGAAAATCATAAAGTAGAAGATACATTATTGGAATTGAATACATTAAGAATGGCATACAATATTTCTATTTATGATCTACGTAGAGTGGCAATCCCCACTATACTAAGTCAAATCAATACAGAGAAATTATGGCAAAGCACAAAAAATGTAATTTAAATTTTTTTTTTATTGGGAACAGACGAATTTATTGTTAAATAATTTTTTATTGATTTTTTCTATATATAATCAGGTTTTGCTTGGCTGGGGACCTTTAATTGATAAATTGATTCAATCAAAGAATGATCAACTTGATTCATTATACATAACACAAGTAATTTACGAAAAATTTTGTTCGTTATTATTTATAAATGTTTTATATTAAAATAATAATAATAATAAATAATTGATTCAGGAATACTGTTTAAAAGATGAAAGTTATATCAAAATCTTTGCTTTATCTCTTCGTATTTTTTATGAAGATGATGTGATTGAAGAAGATGCTATTTTGGAATGGTATTATTCTGATAAAGCTAAACAAGCACCGTCTGGGAAACAGGACGATCTTAATAAATTACGCGAATTGGTTTGTAAAAATTTGTGTTTTATATGGGAGGAAAGTTTGAAATTAATAATAATGATTTGTATTTTTTGGTATTTAGGTTACACCGATGATAAAAAGACTTGAAGAGGAGGATGATGATGATGATGATGATGATGATGATGATGATGATGATGACGAATGAATGAATGAATGAATGAAGGATATCGTATTTCTAATGTTAAAAATAATATTATTGTTATTTTATTGCTTATAATGTACATTTTTGTATTTTTTTTTTAATTAAAAAAAAATAATATGAAAATATCTTTTTTTGGAGGGATGGATATTATCCTGTATATGTATTAATATGTTTGAATGCCTAGCTATAATAATAATAATATATTTATATAATGGTAAAAAAATTTATTCTATAGTTGACTTTTTCCTGATGATAAATCGTAAATCATAAATCGTAAATTGCAAATAATAAAATAATAAACAATAAACAATAATAACAAATAGAAATACGTGTTCTATTGTTGTTGATTGTATTTATTACTTTCACCGAGGGAACAATCAGTGGAACTGCACTATATAAAACAATGTTTTTAGAGAGGTTAACTTCAAAGGATATTATGACAAGGTGAACAATGTGTTAAAATTTTCCAAGCACTCGATTGTTGTTCTGATTGGGAGATAAGTTATGGAAGAAAGAGTCGAATATGTATGCATAGTTTCCCTATATTTTGAATTGAAAATTTTGAAAATTTTGGTTAACTTTTCTAGTTATACATATATGTAGGTGACTCTAAACCAAACGATCATGGTTGATAAAAATGGTGAAGGTGAGGAAGACTTTCCCTACCAAGATCCATTAATGATTTTCACAAAAGTCCCCAAACAAAGACTTTTTTGTTGAGAATGAGGCAGGTGGGGAATTTTGTTCTGAACAGAAAGCTATACAACACACTGTCAAAGAATAAAAGCATCAATTCTGACATTTAAAAACTAAACATGGATAATAAGGTCTTTTATGTGACATATATGGATGAGAGCAGGAGATATAGGTTGATTAAAAACAATCTAGGCAGGTCAATAATTTTGGTTCTTGGAAAGTTGAGAATCAGCAAGACGAACAAGCAACACTTGGCAGCGAAGAAAATAGAATGGAACTCGATCCCGATACGAACAAGGACAGCAATAAAATCACAATGATGAAGAGAAAGAATTGGAATTGATTGAAAAAAGTATCAAAAAGGTGAATAAGAAAAGGAAAAGCATGTCACTTCTTCAACCTCTCCGACCTCTTTGACTTGTTTGACGACCACTTCCGTTCCCACAAGCTTTTCTTCTGCTGGTTCGACCGCCACAGATACTCCTAATGCTAAGGGTAAGGAACGAGCTTATGATGACATGAGCAAAGATGCTCAAGAAATTCAAGATGAATGACTGAAAATCAAAATATATTTATTTATTTATTTTATGTCATTATATTTTATGTTATATATGTATTTTTTGAAATGCTAACTTGACTTAAAAGATAAAAAGTAAAATTGTTTACCACTACCTGCAAATTAAAAACGTCATATTAGTGTAGATTCATTCCACACTTGATATTATTAATTGTTGTCCTAAGAACAATATAAGCAAATCATCAGTTGTTTGTGCAAGTGAAAAAACTATTCAAGAAAATGGATTCTTTTTTTTTTTTTTGAATTTAAAAATCCCTCCCTACCTTAAACTTTAAAAATTAAAATTTTTAAATTACACCCAAAAGATGTTGAAAATTCTAATACCTCTAAAAAATTTAAAACAGATTATTCTTTTTTGGATTCATACATCCATCGTAATGAAATCAATTAAAACCTTTCAAATGCTCCAAGTCATGATGTTGATAATGTCAGCAATAACAACGATCTCGCCAATGGTAGGGGTTTTGGAAGAGTATAATTTATTTGAGCAACAAGATCAACATAGAGCCAATGATAATAATTTAGCACTGCCAATGCTCAAGAAAAATGCTTATTTATATACATATATATATATATATATAAAGAAATGTCAAAAAGGCTTATAATCAGTTTGGCAAGTGGATCGACAAGTTTAAGTTTATTTTTTCATATAACAAATATTAAAGACCCTGTTTAATTTTTAATCATTCTTTGAAACGTGTTGGTTGACATTGTTGTATCTCTAATTTTCAAACAAGATTCATCAAATACTGCAAGACTATTTTAAGCCTGTGTTTGAACCATGAGATCACAGGGTTAGTGATGGCAATGACGAAAGTAATAGCTACTATGTCTATCAATCTCTATTCTTTTGCGCAGAATCATCGAACGAAATTTCTCAACTTTAAAAAAATTCAATTCGACATCTTAATTTTCATATTCATCTACAAAAAGCATTTACAAGATATAATTCCTTAATTAATTATAACTAAAAAAAGTGCTGATCAAACTTTCATGATGATTAGGCTAACACATCGAGGAGTTGATACACAATGCTATATGGTATCTTTATGTAATTGATCATTGTCTTGGTCAGGTTGCTGCCAAAATGTTTAATTAATAAAACAGAGATCGTATTCACAAAATCCACAATATCTATCATATTAAACTGTGACAGAAACAGGCCCCCGATTTCCTGTAAATAACTATTTTTTATGATTTTGTTTTTTTTTTTAAAACCAAGAATGAATTTTCGAAATAGTTTTCAGGAGAGGATCCTAAACTTCTAATTAGAATCTAAAGATGATTTGCAATTATGTTTTTAAAATAGTTGTATAAATAGTTTGGGTTTAGTTTTGGGTGGTTCCCAGAGAAACATAAACCCAATTCCGTTATTAGCGTTCTGCAGTACATGTTTTTTATCTCCAATGCAGGAAAAAAAAAAAGTATCTGAAAAGGAAAAACGAAGCTTTCTTGTGTTGTGTTATGAAAATCACAATCATATGTCTGTCATCATCCGCAATTAAACTATTCTTATCTTCTTTAAACTAAAAATTACAATTCATATGGCAATGATTGCTAATATTTTGTTTGTGGGGGAAAATATTTTAATATTAAGGTAGATGATCTACCAATATAAAAAAAACGTAATTGCCACGGCAAATATCTAAAAATTCTTCACAATTTTGCCACACATTCGTCCTTAAAAGTATTCTTCCAACACAATCCATTCCAATAATTCACCACAATAACAACAAATATGTTATTAGAAGGTTTTCGATTGCAAATATTTGTAAATGGTGAGCCATTGAAAGAGTATAGTGAAAAATATGTAGAAAACAAAACAGTGAGTATAATTAATTGATACATTTGAATGTACGTAATATGTATGTGTATTTAATTTATATATTATTTATTAAATAAAGATAACTAGTGCAGGTCCTTCATATATTTACGATGAAGTAACAAAAAAAACTCATACAACGTATGTTCATTCGTATTAATTAATTAGTCCCTACCTTTTAATTTTAATGCTTTCTACTTACTCTATACTAATTCTTTAATGTTTAAAAAAGTGACAGAATAGTATATGCGTTGGTGAACAAATCAGATGAGAATAAAAGATTTAGTATAAGGTTCACATATGCAAAAGCCAAATATTCAGCGCCAATAAAAGCCTATTTATTTGTTGATGGAGTTTGGGACTATACTTATTATCAAATTTATGATGATTGTTATTATGTTGAGGATGGATTCTGGAATAAGGAAAGAGACAAGAAGTTTTATTTTAAATTCGTTACTGCTACTCCTACTACATTGTCACCAAAAAAGGATGCTATTATTGGTAAGAGAGGAGCAATGAATGGAGTTATTAAATACAATGATGAAAGAATAGATGAGGATGATATGGATTATTCTTACAATATCCATAATAATATTAATGATAATGGTGATAACGATCAGAATGAGAAAAGGAAAAATTGCATTGGAGGTGGATGTGGAACAATATCTGTGCATTTTTATAAAGCAGAATGGCATCAATATGACACTGTCAAAGTACCAGATTTCAATATAATACAACAACAACAAGATCAAAAAGATAATGATAATGAGAAGTTGAATGATATATTTGAAGATATGGCAATAAGTGCAAGTTTTAAGGAATCAAAGCTTAATAAAAAATTTATGACAAAGGGTTTTTGCAGTTTGAAAAGATCAGGTGATCAACCAATTGCTGTCTTGAACCTTGAATATCGAGATATTAATTATCTTAATAATATACAAGGATTGATAATACCTCACAACAACAATAATAGTGATGATGATGATAATAACAATAGTAATGATAACGATAATAATATTAATAATTATTATAATAATATTAGAGTTGGATTAAAAAGAAATTTATCATCTTTTATTGAAGATATTCAAGATGAATATAATGATAATGATGACGATGATGATAATAACCAACATTGTGATAGTGGCAACAATGGTAAAAATGGTAGCAATATTAATAATTATAAACTTAGAGCTAAAAATAAAAATAAAAGTAAACTACCAGATAAAAATAAAACTAGTAAAAATTTTGATCCAAAAGATATTAATCGTTTATTCAAAGAATTAAAATAATAATAGTTGGTTAGGTGGTTGGTGGTTTGCAGGATGATAATTAGACAGTAATCATGAATAGTAATTGATCATTGTAAATTTAATAATATTTATTTTTTTGCAATAAAAAATCTTGTATATGAGTTGTGACTATTACTATTAGGAGTCTGACTGTTGTTATCATTATTATATAAAAATAATAAATTTTTTTACTTTTTTTCTCGCATGTTTTTTCAAATATAAGACATCTTTTATTCATACCATTTACATTAAAGCCTTTGAAAAGTATTCAATAATGGATAAATTTGTTATTTGTGAAAATAATGAAAAAAATAATGAAAAACAGGTAGCAACTATACAAAAGCGAAAAAAAAAGGAGATTACCAGACAAAAATTAAATAAAAAAGTACATGATTTTGATCCAAGTTGGTTATGAGTTTACCCTTGGCTTGAAAAAAGTGAAGATAGTAATGGAAAGGCGACTGTGTTTTGCAGCTGGTGTAAAAATGCAAAAAAGAAAACAAACAGGTACACAATCATACCGATTTATCAATTGTTTTATAATTTATTTTGTTATAAATTATATGTAAAATTACCCGTACTTAGTTTTCTAATAATGTGGTCAGAGTACTTTAATATGGCAACAATGTGCTAGCACTGCACATAATATCAGTTCGGATTTTAGACACTGTCTACGAATACCGTAAATACAAATACTATTTATGAGAATTAAATAATGTGTCAATCTCTTCGCAGACGATAAAATGATTGAATTATTTAGTTGGGATATAATTATTGAATAATAAAAATTAGAAAAATGTTCGCTTTATATGGTTTTGTTGCATATGATGTACATGAAAAAGATTTAATACATTATGATTTACATAGTTCACACGCGAAATGTGTTATCAATGGTTCCAACACAACCCCATAAAGTAACACTAATATGAAAGCTTTAAATTGAAAAGAAGATCTTCCTTTGAGATAAAAACGCAATATCATTTTGATGGTTTTTTTCGATATAAAGAATAACGCAGTTTCGCCTTACTTTCGTAATAAAGTTTGTGTTTATTATTGTTATTATTATTATCATCATAATAATAAACGGGTCAGGAGTATTATTTCAAAAACAAACAATGGCTAGATAAGAATGACGATTTCCTTTAATTTAATAAATAATTCCACAAAAAATCACATCTCAAAACAAATTAATTGACCAACAATAAATTATTATATTCTTGGCCAAGGTTATCTTCGAATGCTTCTTCGTCGATTGCTTGTACTTGTGACATATGGCCTTCATTTGACTCGACGATTGCACTTAAATCACCAACCACGCTAAAAACAATTGGATCGCTTGCCGGTTGGACCGCATTGGATGTCAACGTTGTGCCTGTTACTGGCGGTGAAGAAGAAGAAGGAGAGGCTACTTGACGTTTATTCTTTAAATAATAGTAATTGTTATCATCGTTATTGTCTTGTGACCAATTTGATAAAGTTAATCTGTTTTTTAGTAACAATAAATTGTTTAGATTTCTCGTGGTTGATGTGAAAATAGGATTTGAAAGAGAAATTTTTATATGAGCAAAGAAAGTTATCGTGAATAACAGAATTATGATTAGAAATGAAGAAAAATATTTTTTTAATAGCATCGTTTTTTTTTATTTTGTTTAATTTATTCTTTTCATTAATGAATGAAAATTCCTTTCACAAAATATCTTTATTAAATTTTTTGCATTAAAATTTTTATCATCATTTGATGCAAATTTTTATTTTCGATATCATCATAATTGTTGCATAATAATATAATAATAATAATTATTATAGTTATCATTATTATCTCGAATTTCAAATATCAAATAATAGTAGCACGAAAGATTAACTATTTATATAATTATAATATGCAAAGAGGATTTTTATTTTTATCATATTTCTCTAAATATTTACTTCATTATTAATATTATTCGAATTCTTTATCACACGTAATTATTAATTATGTTATGATATGATTTTCAATATTGATATATTAATATTTAATAGGAATATGTAATATATATTTGGAAACGTTAAACAACAAATTTATTACTTATCATCGAGATAAAGTTTCTTCTTCTTAAAAATTACTCTGCCTACGTTTAAAATAAAAAAGCGAATGGTACAAGTAAATTAAATAAGATCTTAACTATCTGTTTATATTATATTATTTTAAAGCGTGTAAATCTTCCTTTGTTTTAGGAACACAAGAATTATTAATACAACAATATATTAAAATAAGTAATCAAATACAAAAATAACCTCTTGGGTTCACAAGATTTTCAATTAAAAATGTATTTATATACAACAAAGGATTTCAAGTAGATATAATTAATTTTGTCATAAAAAAAAAAAAAAAAAACAAATAAAATTTAATTTTTTACTACCAAATTTTGGAAACAAGGGAATCACCTTCCCAATCCGAAGGTCTAGCTTTCTTTTTTTGCTTTTATTGTTTTGTTAACATTATTCCTCCTCGTTTTCACACATTGTTTTCACCAAATCAATAATTACAAAAACAGTTTCATAATTATTCTATCATTGTTATCGTGTAAATTACTAGCACCAATACCATTACATCCGAGTCATTTCATTATTTCCTCAAATACTGCTTTAATACTGCTTTTTTCTTTTTTCCATCACATTTTTACCGCTCAAAAAAAATTTGATTTTTTTTTTTTTTATAAAAATAACCCGTTGACCGGTTTTTTTTTCATACATACATAAACAATATATTGTTCATAAATTGTCCTTGTATAAACAATTACAAAAAGAGCTTGGAATTTTCTTCCACTCCCTTAAAATTTAAAAAAAGCGGCCATTCGAAAATACAAAATAAAAAAAAATCAGATTTTTTTCACGAATAAAATTAATTCCAACTATTATTACACCTTCTTTAAAATTAAAATATAAAAAAAAAAAACAACAAAAAAAAATATTTAACATTTCGTTGTAAATATATATAAATAATTATTACATATTATAAATATATTATAAATCTATCAAAAAAAAAAAATGCCAATTCCCAAAATAATATCAAGACAAACAGCAAATCATAAACATAATGCAATCAACATAATTTCTCGCTCTCCAAATGTCTTACCAATAACTATTGATCCTGATGATTTTGCATCAAGTACAATGCGTGGAAAACATATTTTAGGTAAAAATTTATTTCTGAAAAAGTTTTTATCTTTATTTTTTTATTAAAAAAAAAAAAATATGAATTAATAGAAAATTTTTTTTCATAGTTCTTGGTGCTACAGGAAGATTAGGAACTCAAGTAGTGAACCAAGCGCTTGAGGCATCATATCACGTTACAGCTTTGGTTCGTAATGATTCTAATTTACCGTTTGCGAGACATCAACTTCGTAATCCTAATCTGGTAATAATGGTAGGATCGGTTTTGTCAAGGAAAGATTTGGATAAGGTGATCGAAGGTCAAGATGTGGTGATCAATTGCATTGGGCCTAGACTTTTATTTCCATCATCCGATAATATGGAAATTTGTTCATGTTCACAAAAATTGATTATCGAAAGTATGATTGAACATAAAGTTCGTAGATTGATAGTTGTAACGTCTCAAAATGTTATTGGTCATGATGATAGTAATGATGATAACAACAATAATAATGAAATTTCATCATCAAGAATTCATATGATGCAAAAATTTTTTGGGAAACTTTTCTCTGGTAAAATGTTGAATGACAAGAAATTACAAGAAACAATCGTAATCAACAATTCCGATCATATTGATTGGACTATTATCAGGCCGGGTAAAATGTATAACGGTCAATTAACTAAACAGTATAAATTAAATGATAAAATGAATTTCACGAAAGTTAGCAGAGCAAATGTTGCTCATTTCGTAATGAAAGAGTTAAGGAATAGCGATTGGCTTAAGAAAACTCCTAATATAAATAGTTAACTCTTATTTAGTTTTCTCATTCTTTTTTTTTGTAAATAACAAAAAAACAAATTTAAATTATTATTATTTATTTTAATTTATTTATTATTAATATTTAATTATTCTTATGTAAAAAACATTATAAATATTAATATAAAAAAAAAAAATAGTTGTGTACAATGATTCCTGAACTCCGGCTAGGGTATCCAGGATTATGTTTTTCTTTTTTGCAAATTATTGGGGTATTCGATACAAGTTGATTAACAAATCTAATTAATGTCATAATGTAAATACATATACAGTGAACCCTTGTTTCAACGAAGTATATATAATTAAATTTTTGATACAACGAATTTTTAAAAACGTTGTTACACATTATGAAAACATATAAAAATTCGTTGAAACGCGATTAGTAACCTTGTTTCAACTAATGTTGAATAAAATTTTCTTATATGTCCAGCCACTTCGTTGAAACAAGGGCAGACTGTATGCGGATCTTTTTATGGTACCCTTTTTTTCTCTAAAAAAGGAAACAATGTAACAAAATATATTTCCAAATGTAATTACAAGTCACAAAAACCCTGTATGTCCCAGGTATCAAGGTATTATTTTTAATTTGAATTTTTCCCCACACTTATTGTAAGAGACAACAAAAATCCCCTTACCTGAGATAAATGATTAGTTGAATGTAACAATATACCCCCTGCCAGAGGTATGCTACTAAACTAGATCATTGGTTAATTGAATTAATTGGTAAATTTTGAGTTAGTATCAGTAATAGGCATCGAATCAAAGAGTTCTTGAATTTCATTAACTGATTCTGGTTTATATGTTGGAAGAATCAGAGCTCTCACTTTATTAAAACCAGTTCCACTGTATGGTTTGCAGTCAATCCAATAAATTTGTTTCCATACTTGTTGATCCTTAGGTCCTTCTCTTTTTTGTTTACTCTTGATAGCATAACCACACCAATTACCCACTATTGCATTAAACAATTTAACTGTAGCATTGAGATTAGGGGTTTCCTTAGCCCGAGACTTAAATCCAAAGAGTAATAATGCATCTTCTTGAATTTTGATGATTTGTTCCCATGATTGTTTGAAAGCTTTTGCCACATCATCACCAGAAAGAATCTTTGTATCATTTATATTTCTAAAACCTATCAATTGGACAAGATTATGTACCACTTCCCACTGTTTTGTCAAATAAAATTTATGCAAATCAACTGAGGAAGGGTCCATAGAATCATGTGAATCTTCTCATTGCATTTATTCTTTGATTTTTAGATTTTCTATAGAATTTGTCACATTGGAACCTTGTCTTTGGTAATAAGCAAGACCTCTAAAATGCTTTAAAGGTTCGGGATCATTGAATCTTTCTACAAAATCTATGTCACAAAACTTAACCCAATCAGCATTATCCATACCCCATTCTCGAATGTCATCCTTGCCACCAATATTACCTGAAGCATATATTTTCCACAAATAATATCATTGTAAAGTCATATTATCAGTGAATGAGCATATAGGAATTTGCTTAAGTATTTCAGCTTCATTTTTATTATTCTACAGCCTTTCATGATTCCCCATAAACATTTTACTGATCTTATGCCTTTGAAGTATACAAAAAATTTATTGTCTGAACTCTGGGAATGTGGGACATGACCAGTCTACAATTGTGTTCTAGCTTTCTTGACATTCTTCTTCAAGTAAATAAGCATGTACTTACCTCCAATAAAGTCTTTGACCATGACTTCCTTGTGAAAATTGGAAGGAAGTCCATTAATATATTTGACAGAATCTTTCTCAGAGATTAATAGTTGAGTAAAGGAAGAAATTCAAATTTGATAATCCCTCTGCATAATCAATCAGATAATCTGTATGTTGTACACATTTGATGGGGCTATGTAACAAAAATTATTTTTAGATCCTTGATACACAGAAAGATAATTTCTCTTTTTTTTAGTACAAAACATGACACAAACCAGGTCCAGTGGTAGTGAAAATTCAGAACATCTACAAGATCCAAACTTTCTCAGCAAATCTGCATCATTGTTCAATTCTCGAGATGTTCGTTCATTGAGAGTGAGTTTCTGCTCAGCTACACAAGCAAATGAAGTTATTCCTAGTAGAAATGGTATGTTGTATCAACATTCCTCTTAGCAAACTCAATACTTACAACTTAAATTCATATAGTCAACATTCCACAAGAATACATTCTCCCAGGTGTCAACCGTATTATGCTTGAAAGGCAAAACCTAAATATTGACCAATTATGTCAAAATGATTATGTTAAAACATTCATTTACAAATTGCACAAAGTTGTCAGGGATGCAGGACTTGATATAGGAACAAGTGAAGCTTCTACTGATACATTGGTAGCCAATTTAATATTTTGTGTTATCGACTTTGATAAATGGCCCTTGGTGGTTAAGTTAGTATTGGTGGAAATGTCTTTTGTTTATGATATACTTTAATAGTTTCTTAAAGATTGCATTACATTCAAACTTAGATTACATCCAACATTCAAATTTTTCGTTGGTAATGCAGTTGTTTCAGCAAAAGCCGAATTTGTAATTAATTATCAAAACTATTCTTTCTTGGTTGTTGAGGTCTGTATGTTCTTGATTGCTTGACAAATCTGTATTTTTGCTAATTCAAACAATCTTTTTAATAGGATAAACATCTAAATAACACTATGCCAAACTATGACTATGGGGAACCCCAAATAATTGCTAAAATTCTTGCTTGTGGGGATGAAAATATACATAAAGCTCGTGAGGCTCGTGATATGACTATATTTGTAGTTCGTGTGGTTTCCACTTATGTTACATTTTACCGTGCTACAATTGATAAAAGATATTGGTATGAACTTGGTATAGGTTGTCCACGACAGCAATCAATCACAGTTTTAAGATGGCCAGGGAATAGTGGTGATCCAATTGTTGGTTTTGATCTTGCAGAACCAAATGGAAGAAGAGATGTGTTAGAAGCATTATCCAGGATTCGTCAATACATCTTAAGCTAGATGAAAATCTATTATAAATAGTATGGTATGGTTAGCTGAGATTAGTAATAAAAAATAATTTTCTCTTAAGAACCTAATAAAGTTTTACCTGAAAAGATTCATTTTTATATATGTTTCATTACATTATATGGTTATCAATGTTTGCATATGATCAAGAATTTTTCTTGGCAAATTTCAGTCATGTGGTTTTTTTGTGATGTAGCTTTGTTGAAAAAATTTTTCTTGACAAAGTGATCAGTGTGAATTTTTTTCACACACTCATGTAATTTTTATTAACTCAAACTTTTGAATATATCCACATCTTGTAATTGATGAATTATAAAACTAGCACTCAAAGAGGCACATAAAATTTATTAAATATATATATAAACATATACATAAAAATATATATACATTATTATCTTCTAATACTGGTGCTATCAGCATCTTTGTATTCCAATTTTAATTGTAACCCTCCTTTGTATGTTCTTCTGGTTGTCCCAGGGTTTCAATAACATTATTAAGCTTGATTTTAATGCCATTGACCTTTAAATATGAATCCTTTTTATTTTTTAGAATCGACCTATGATTGTACAGAGTGGTGGAAATGAGATATATAGCCACTTTGTGACTACAAAGCAAGAAAAACAAAAACTGCTTCCTTGTAAAACAATTAGAGAAATCATGCAACTTACAGCATAGTAGGTTCTCCTTGGCTTAGTGTTCCTTTGTCAAATCTTTCACCACCCCCCATTATGAACAGCGAAATAAATGTTATCAAGCCCACTATGTAAAAAGTATCATTGTTTTATCAGATTATGTCCATGCATTCCATACATTAATAAGTCAATGGAAGAATTTATTTACCGAATTTAACTGAAAGTTCTCTTTCCATTGTAATTGTAGACTTTTTTTCTGTTAAAAAAATATAAGGGTGAAATTCACCTCATAAATCCACCTTATTTATAGTTTCATTTGTTACCTGAGAACCTGCTAGAAGAGAAAACATTAGTATTTATGTTACCTGATCATTTGTCAGATCCTTTCTTTGTAAGGCAGGTCTATTAAAGTCATAAGCAGGGCTGGAAATAGTACTTTTAAAATCCGGATTTTCTTTTAAAAAGAGCTACCAGATATTTTTCCTTTTTTTTTTCCAAAAAAATTTATATTAAAATAATACATACATATATGTGTCATTACTTCAATATTTTAGAAAAGAACCATAATTTGTATCTTTTGAATTTTCAGAAGAAAAGTATTGACTTAATTTAAATCTTATTTCACTGTTATTAAATTATTAAATTTTTTAAAGCAGGTTGTTAATAAAACCGAAAATAATCTGACCCTCAAAGTCAAATTTGCCTTTATATTCATCCATATATGTAAAATTTTGTTCAACGTGTCCAATTGCAGGTATAAGTAGAAATAAATGTCCAAATATTACATTATTATTGAATATTTGTAGATTTTTGATCACTTAGGTATGCCTTTTATAGTAAAATCCTTTATTTTAAAAGTAATATAATAAATAATAAATAGACATTAAAGTTTTTCTTTACCTACAGTATATACATAAATAATAATTATAATAGTAAACAAGCAACAATAATGATTAAATTAAAAGGTGTTTTATCTCTGACTTTATTCATTTAATTATTTGTCATAGTGATGTTATTAAATATAAGTTAAAATAAAAGAAATTTATATACATAAATAAATAATAAATATAACTATTGAATAATTGATAAAACGTTTATTTTTGTAAAATTTGCTTTGCAAGCTTCATAGATCTTGTCCTTAACGCTTATTTCAATCACTCTTATACAAACTATTAAATAATTGATGAAATGTTCGTTAGAACATTTTGTTCATAAATCTTGTCCTTAAAGCTTACTTTGATTACTCCTACACAAACTATTGAATAATTAATAAAATGTTTGTTATTATATTTTGTTCATTCATTGATCTTGTCCTTAAAACTTACTTCAATCACTCCTACACAAACTATTGAATAATTAATAAAACATTCGTTATTATATTTTGTTCATAGATCTTGTCCTTAATGCTTACTTCGATCACTCCTACACAAACTATTGAATAATTGATAAAACATTTGTTAGTATAAATCTTGTCCTTAACATTTACTTTGAACTCCTACACAAACTGGATCTTAATCTTTATTATCATCCTCAAAAACGATGATTCATTATCATCATTTGCCATTTATTGCTACTAATATTATTGTTTAATGTTGCTATAACAACTACTGATTGATGATATTCATAATAATCATTAATGAAACTTTAATCAATCACTAATAAAATACCTTTTAGTTTTTGCTGAATCCCATCTACATAAATTCTTCATGACTATTAAATTTCTATAAAATAGTTTTTCGTGAACCTCTCTAAAACTTATTAACCAATAATCCCCATAAAGTAATGACCATATGAAAGCTTAAAGCATTCTACACCTTCACATTTACTATCAAGTCTTTTAAAGCAATATTCTGAGCTTTGAAGTGAAAAAGTAATACCGTTTTTGAATAGCCGTGAATTCATGTAGAGAAGACCTTTCTATATGAAAGAGTATTAATTAGAAAGCTTTAGTGGGGTACTTTCATTTTACTCTAACAACGAAGTTCGAGTTTATTATAAAAATAACGAGATATTTTAAAAAAACTTCACGTGACACGAATTTCGCAATTTATTTTCACATCAATTGCGAAATTCTTAATATTAATGTATATATTAGTATCCAATTAAACCGTTTAATATTCGTTTAATAATTCTCTATTCCTTGTTTTTCATTTTATTGTTTGTATTATTTTTATTATTTTTTTATTATTAATAAATTATAAATAGGACCAGGAAAACTCTATTGAATGTGACCGCCAACACTGTGATTCGAAAGTACTTTTTAAAAAAAATGTGACCGCCTCACCATAGATTCGCAGATAGAAAATGGAAAATGTCACCGCTTTTATATTATTCGAAGAAAAAACTGTTATCGGTTACACTGATTCGCAGACATAAAAAAATAAAAAAAGTCATCGGTTACACTTGATTCTCATTATTAATAAAAAATGTTATTATTATTATTAATTGCATGTAACGCTTGCAATTGAATCTATTAAGGAACGAAACATTTGCAAATATGGTGAAAACGTTGATCGCGCCAAAAGCCGAAAAAACCAAGCGCGGCTAAACGCAAAAGGAGACAATTGGCGAGAAACCTGTACGAAGGTCGCTCGCCTTACTGATTTTGGAGGGTGGTC